TCCCCAGAAAGCCTGCTCCTGGGGCTGCAGCCCACACACACTTCCCACCCTGAGTGTGTGGGGCTGGGTTGGGGAAGGACGGGCAGGATGGGGGTGGGCCAGAGAAGAATAGGGGCTGGGCGGGAGTGGCAGGCAGGGGCTGCAGACCTCAGAGGGTGGGTCTCTCTCTTTCTGGACCCTACATTCCGCCCCCTAGCCCTTTGTTTTTCAGCAGCTGCTCTCCCTGATTCCTGCCCCTCCCAGGTGGCCCCTCGGGCAGGCCAGGCAGGAGATGGAAGCTCACCTCACATCTGAACGGCTTCTCCCCTGAGTGCTGCAGGGAGTGCACCTTGAGGGACATGCTGCGCTTGAAGGACTTTCCACAGGTCTCGCAGGTGAAGGGCATGTCCTTGGTGTGGGCTACGAGGTGGGCACCAGCGCCGTCATGTCTTACGGGCCTGCCCAAGCACCCCCACATTGGGCCCAGACCCTGCCTCCTGGGGCAGCCCTGTGCCACCACCCTTCCCTGGGGCTGGCCTTATACCCTGTCACAGGACCTGTGCTGATTCCCAGGAGAGGCCCCCTGCCTCCATGGCTGGGTCTCCTATCTGCTCTGAAGGTCTGCCTCAGACATGCCGGGGCTCTGTGGTTCTTTAGCCTCTGGCCAATTGAAGTGGCCAAGGCTGCCTTGCCCCCAAAGCTTCAGGGAAGGACCCTGGATGGACCTGGCTTCAGCTCAAATCCTGGCCCGACCACTGGCTTCCTGCTCAGTCTCTCTGGGCCTCAGCTTCCTCTTCTATAAAAAGGGACTCATAGTGGTCCTGAGCTTCAGGGATGGTGGGCTTTATAGGGGACCATATGCAGAAAGGCCCTGGCCTCAGGTCCTAGCCAGCAGTCTGGAGGAAGTTAGATGCACTCCTCCCAGCACCCACGGATAGGTGAGGACCAACAAACTTTAAGGATCTGGTAGGAGGCCACTGGAGACAGAAGGCTCCCCTCCAAGCTCACAGACACCAGTCCTGGTTTACCCAGCATGCTCCTGGCTGAGACCTAAGCTGCAGGGTCCCAGCTTCCAGTCAGTTCACTGTCCGCCTTGGCTACCCCTCCCCCTCAAGGCCCAGACTTGGGGCGGGCAAGGAAGGCGGTGCTATAGGGACATGAGACTCTGCCAGGCCCACATACAGCGGGTAGGCAGCCTTGCCTGGGGCAGTGGAGTGGCTAAAACACACACTTGGGGGACCTCCTTACTGTGTCCAGGCATGAACCCTGAGGGGAGGCTGCATTCAGAGAGGCCTGAAGCCCTATGAGGACCAGAAGGTAAGAAAGAATCAGAGGCACAGCTGTCATCAAACTGACACAGGGCCTGTACTAGCCCATACAGCACTTTGTATAATTAGGAAAAGGTATTCCTTTCCCTGGGTGGACACAAGCTCATGCCAGGATGCACAGCCTGGTTAGCAGTGTGCCAGCTTGATTCCAGTTCCCACCTGCCATCTTGTCCAGGCACCCTTGTGCAATGTGCAGCCTGCCCAACTGTACGTGCCAGCCCTGGCCCCAGAGCCTATCCAGGCTACACCTGCCACTGCAACCAACCTCCCCAGGCCTCCCAGATGAGAGGGGCCTCCTCACCCCTTCACATTGCCCTTGGATGTGAAGTCTTTCCCATCCACCAGCCAGAAGCTGGTCCATCTCTATCCTCCGGCTCCATCCCCCAGTGGCCCAGACTTACCAACCATGTGCTTACGCACGTGGGCCATGGTGTAGAACTTCTTCTCACAGATCTCGCATGAGAACTTCTTCTCCGCGTAGCCGTGCACGATCTTGTTATGCTCATGGAGGGACCAAAGCTTCTTGAAAGCTTTGCCGCACGTCACACACTGCAGAGTAAGAGGACTTGAGGCCCTGGGTCCTAAGTCCCCAGGGCCTTGGACCTGGGCAAGCTACTGCCCCCACTGGCCTCAGTTTTCCCACTTGAAATATGTTGGAGGGCCCTTGATGCCAAAAGCCAGCCAGCTCTGATGTTCCTAAGGTTGGGGATGAAAACTCCTTAAACATCCCCAAACACACAGCCTGGTGTCCTCCTTCATCCTTGAGTTAACTAGGGTCAGGGGTCACCTCTTCCAGGAAATTCCCCCCTCTGGGCTCATTTCAACAAGGGCTTCCAAAGGCATCACCTTTGTCTGTCTATAGAGCTAAGGCAGACAACTAGCTGAAGGACCGCCTCTGGTATGGAGGCTACACACAGAGATAACAGGTCCCACAGGGTGAGCCACTATCACTGCTGCCTCCTCCTGCTGGGACCTGTGCCGTGACACCATGGATATCCTCAAGCGGATGAGTCCCAGAGGCACTGGCTAAGGAGGACAGCAGGAGTCTCAAGGTCCCATCAAGAAGAGAGTGGACCATATCTCCCCACTTGTTCTCCTGGACCCTTGTCCTGCCCATCTGTGCAGGACACTCCACAGGGATGGAAGCTAGGCCAAGGCTTGGGCAGAAATTGGTCAGGGTGCCCAGATTGGATGGGGCAGAAGCTTCTTTCTCCTTCAGGAGGGAGACTCAGGTGTGCAGCAGTTAGAGCATCAAAGGGCAGCCCAGGAGGCAGGCAAGTGGGCACAGGTACACAAGGGTGGGGCAGAACACCAGGTGACCCCCAGGTAACACTTTCTCCACAGGGCACTGCAATTAGCAATTAGCTCAGGCAATTAGCACCCACCTACCTGCTACTTTTCCCCCTTCTCCTGGGCCAGAAGAGGTGAAAACCACCCGTGGGAGCCTGGCTGGCCCTGTGCCACCCCACCCTGAGAAGCAAGGCTGGCACAAACAGACTCAGGCTGGCTCAAGGCCCGGCAGCCAGCTCAGCTCCCCTGCTTAGCCCCAGCAGCCTCTGCTCTTCCCAAATTTCTCACCCAATCCCTTTTCCCCAGGCCCATGAGAGCTGGCATCCCCAAAGAGCTGAAAGTGGGGGCTGCCTCCTGCTGGGATGCCCCCTACTCTATACAGCACTTTTGTGGGAAGTAGAGGATGGCATTCCTCTGGGCAAACCCCTCCTCCCATCGTGTGCTCATTTGTTGCAGTGCACAACCTGTGAAACTATACACAGTGACCCTGCTGGCCTTCCTACAGCCCCAGTGTTTGTTAAAACCCTGTCTGACTCATCCCACCCAGAGTGGGCTGTCTTCTGGCCTTGTATGCTCAGATAACTCTCCACTGTCATCCTCCCAAGTCCATGTGTCCCCTTTGTCCCTCTGGCCAAGGGTACTGTTTGTTCCAATCCTCTGCACATCTCTTTATACGCCTAACTCTATCCACCTCTCCCAGGGAGCTCAGCTTGATGTTAATCCCTGAGCTCTAACCACCCTGAGAACTAGGCCTGGGCCAGCCTGTCTGGGGGCTGAGTCTGGTCTCCATCTAGGCGCTGGGTGCCCAGAGCCCAGTTCTGGCCTAGCCCCACCTGGACAGCCTCTGCCCTGCCCCCAGCCACATGAGGCCCACCTGGATGTTGCGCTCGCAGTCTGTCTGCCTGTGCAGCAGCAGCTCGCTCTCCAGCAGGAAGCGCTTGCCGCACTGGTCGCAGATCTGCATGCGGCTGTGGGTCACATTCATGTGTTTCTCCAGGTACCAGCGGTTGTTGAAAACTCGTGGGCACTTCTGGCATGGATGGTGCTGCTTCTCCTCCAGCTTCACCTTGGCCCCCAGCCCATCAGTGGCTGGCGGCCCTCGGGCTGATGCAGAGGCCACTCCAGGGGGTGGCTTCGGCCGTTTCCCACCCCGCCGCCCAGCTTCCTCAGGTTCAGGGGTGCTCCGGCGCCGGGCATTCTCCCGGGACCGTGTGGCCATGTGACTGTGGGGAGGGGGGTCTGCCCGGCTGCCTCGGCTTCCCCGTGGCCCCTGCTTGCCCCCAGCCTCCCCCTCCTCCCCCTCCTCCTCCTCAGAGCTCTCTTGATCCTGCTCACTGGGCCCTTCCTCCTCCTCCTCCTCCTCTTCCTCCTCCTGCTCACTGTGCCCTTCCTCCTCCTCCTCTTCCTCTTCTCCCTGACTGCCACCCTCTTCCTCCTCCTCCTCCTCCTCCCGTCCACTGCCACCACCTTCCTCTTCCTCCTCTTCCTCCTCCTCCTCCTCGTCGTCCTCCTCCTCGTCGTCCGAGTGTCTCTGCAGCCCGTCCTCCCGGCCCAGAACCATGGTGGCCGGGCTTGGCCCGGCACCTGGCTTCCCCTCTGGCCCCGTGGACACGTGCAGTGTCTGGTTGTTGAGGTTCACCTCCACGATGATCTGGGACTGCTCCCTGCGGCTGTAGGTGCCAGAACCCCCAAGCTCTTCCTCCAACTCTTCTCCACCCTCCAGCTTGCACAAGCTGGCCGGGGGCCCACCGGCCTCCTCGACACCACCCTCCTTCTCCTCCTTAAAGAAGGGCTGGGCTGGCCCAATGGTGGCAGGCACGGTGCCACCAGCAGTCCCTGCCCCGTCCTCAACACGCACCGAGTAAGGGTCAGGGCCCTCGCGGGCGTAGATCTTAGGCAGGCCTGGGGTGTCGGCCTCCTGCTTGATGTCACAGTAGTAGGGCGGTGCAGCTGGAGTGCAGCTGGCAGCCGGCTGGGCCAGGGCCACAGTGCCCGGACCTGGTGGGCCTAGAGAGCGGGCGTCCAGCAGCTCTTGGCAGGACGCAGCGATGTCGGCCATCTGCAGCAACGAGGCGGCGCTGAGCACCTCGTGGACGTTGGCTGCGTTGACCAGCAGCTTGGACGTATAGATGAAGTTGAGGATCTGCTGCAGGCCACCAGGTGCCAGCGCCTCCAGGGACAGCTCCACACGCTGCAGCTGCTTGTTCTGGGTGAAGAGTGAGTGGAAGAACTGGCTGTAGGCGGCTAGCACACCCTTGTGTGCTGGAAAGACGCTGCGCTGGGGCACCAGCACCAAGTCCACGTCACAGAGGTCAGGCTGGAAGAGGCGCTGCTCGTTCAGGCGGCCCATCAAGCAGGCAAAGTGCAGCGCCACATCCTCCACCAGCGAGAACTCGGCCGCCGGGGAGTCAGTTGTCTTCTCAACCAGCAACTGCAGGGACAGAGGGCACAGGAGTGGGTCAAGGCCAGTGGGCCCCTGCCCACCCTTCCCCTAGCACTACCCCCAGCATGGCCGGCCATCCAGGAGGCGGGAGCCCATCACTGGTGGCTCCACTTTACAGCAACAGAGCCGAAGCTCTAGCAAGGAAGGAATTCAAGCCTGAGTGAGTTGCCCTCAGAGCTCAGACTCCACTCGTGACCCTCTGAGGCCGAAGATCAGGTCCTGTCACTTTTCTGGGCCTCTGGGTCGTCTCCTGTGAAATGGGAAAAGTCATCCCAGGAAGGGAAAGAGAAGGAAAGGGGACGAAAGAGAGACCACAGTGACCAACCATCCAGGTTTGCCAGGGACCTGGGCATTTTCTGGGGTGCAGGGCTTTCAGTGCTAGAACCAGGACCATCGCAGGCACACCAGGACTAGGTGGTCACCCCAGGAGGGCCACAGGCATTCCTTCAGTGTTTCCCCAGCCCTGTGGATTCTCTCCACATATTCACTCACACATACCAATACAAACAAGCTTGCCCAGCCCCTAATACCTCAAGAACAGAATCCGGGCTCACTGCTCACAGCCCAGCCTCTGGCTATAGAACCCAAGGGGTAGCACCTGAGGGAACCCCTCATTGCAACAGCCGTGCAGTTCCTACAGAAGTTGAAATCTGTGAAGAAATCCAGCCTCAGGGCCTATACCTTCTCCCTACTCTGGTCCTGCTGCACTGCCTGGTGAGGTCCCGTCATCACAGCCAGGGCTTGGGCCAGGCTGCCCCCAACCCCTGCCTACAGCCTCAGGTCTAGCCCCCAGCAGCTCTCTCTCACCCAGGGGCTCTGCAGGGGTGGAAGGACACAGCTGTGGAACCTGCCTACCATGCTTGCAGGCAAGAGGCCCCAAGGCCTGCCCCAGACCCTTTTCCCTGTAGACCCCCGGACCCCAGGTCAGGTACGGTCCATGTCCACAGGCTCTGGGAAAGCCCTGCCTTGGAGGTCACACCATCTGGGGCTTCCACAGCCCTAGGGGAGGCCCTCAAAGTCTGATGGGTCAGACTATCAGGCCTGTGGGCCACATCCAGCACCTGTGAATTGCCTTGAATAGAGGCCAACTCAGTCACCCCCGGCTCTACCACAGCAGCCTCCCCAAAAGGTGGGCAGCACAGACAGGCAGCCTGCCCAGTCCCTGCACGAGGACCATCGCACAGTGATGTGCAGATGTTCAGTTAATATCCACCAACCACCAGCCCGGCTGGACCAGCCCCACTGGTTCCAGGTTCTGGCTGTCCTCAGGGTCTGCCCAGCCAGGTCTGAGCCTCCTGAATTCAGGAGATACCTTGCCACAGTATTTTGATGGCCACAAAACTATCAGCTCCATAGCTGTCAGCGCCTCCCTGGGGACCCTGGGATGAATCCTGGCCCCATCCATTCATAGCCTACCCACCCCCCCACCACCCATGCCAGGCCTTCCATTGCCAGGACAGCAGTGGGTAGGCTGGGACTGAGCAGGGGTGGTGGTGGTTGAGTTCCTCTTCTCATTCCATCTGAATGAGAGAACCTACCCTGGGCCTCAGGAGGAGGCTCCCTGAGCCACCAGGGGCCACCTGTCTCCAGGCCTGTCCTGGATCCTGCCCCCTACACCCAGCGGCCAGGGCAGCAGCCATCCTGTGCTCCCTCACATCCCAGTCTGGCCAGGCCCCTGGCCAAGGCTACCATCTTCCTCGAGTTCTCCACTACACCCCTTACCCCAGCCAAGAAGCCAGCCATCTGCCCCTCTGTCCCAGGCTGTCCAGGCCTGGCCAATCTAACTGGGACGTGGCACCAAGCCCCTCCCATCTCCCTCCTCTGACTCATTCTGATTCATCTTCTGGGACCAACCCCTACTACACAGATGGAGAAACCGAGGCTCAGAATGAGAGGGTTCCACAATCCGGAGCCCCTGGACTCCCAGCTCTGCTAAGACCACCCCTTCCTTGCTAGACTCCACATGGCTGGATTTCTGAGCCTTTAATGACTTAAAAAGCAAGAACACCCCTTCACCTGGAGACCAGTCATGCTTCCTCACACTCACCACTACCCCCTCTACCTGCTTCCTCCTCCCTAGAGCCACTGCACCTGCAGGTCAGTGAAGGATCAGGGTACAACTTGGGTTGCAACAGGGGCTCCTTAGGGTCTCCAGGGGCTAAAGAGTGGCAGGAGAAGTGGCTTGGATAAGGGCTTGCCGAAGCCAGGCCTGTTGGGGGAAGTCCATCCCAGGCAACGGAGCCCCAGATCTCTCTGCTTTCCCTTTATGGAATGCCCTCCACTGCCCACCTGTGCCCACCTGCCACAGGGAAAGGGCAACCTTCCCATGTGCACTTTGGCCTCCAGGCCAAATGAGGCCTGACTTTGGCCCTCTGGCCTCTCAGCAGGAAAGGAGGGGAGTGCTGCCTCAAACACTCCATTGCTAAGGTGGTACCCTCAGACAAGCCAGCACCATCCTTGGCCCTTGGGGGGCCCTAAACCTCACGACCTGATTGGACTCTCTTGACTGGGCACAGAGATGCTGCCCAAGTCTACAAGTGGCAGCCCCTCAGCAGGGTTCAGCCACCTCCGTGTCTGGCCCTACCACACAATGCCCACCAGCTGTGCTGGCCTCCACGGCCAGATGTGCTAGTTCCCGGAAGCAATGGGTGCCTCTCCCCATCCGGCTGTGCCAGCTGCAGTCCAGGTCACTCCAGCCTAGCTAAGATGCAGGACCAGGGAAGTGGTCAGGCACTCTGGTTGCCAGGGGGTTTCATGCCTTCAAACCCTTGCCCCAAGTCAGGCTGGGGATTGGCCAGGTGCCAGGGACATCTCTCCAGGCTGCTCACCCAAGTCAGAGCCTTCTACACCTGAGGGGTACCTTGCCTCACTGAGGAGAAGCCTCATCTCTCTACCCTGCCTCAGAGCCTCCCTGGAAGGCCCCATGATGAAACCTGGGGAGTCCATCTGCGCCCCCCTCCCATGTCAATTCTTTCTACGCTGGGCAGCAGTGGATGGGCCCAGACTGAGCAAGGGGGCACAGGCTCATGACCTCTAGGCTCCTCCTTTTGGTGAGGGAGTGTCTATGCCAGCCTCCTCTGTGCACATACCTCCCCTCTTTCCCTTGGAGATAGACCCAGAGAGGGCGGGGGATCTGCCCAAGGTCACACAGGAGTTGGTACTGGAGCTATGGGTGTCCTCCCACACCCCCTTGGCCCGGGTCATCCCGAATCCCCAGGCAGGGCGGCTCCAGCGCCCACGTGGCCCAAGGCCCAGGCGGGAATCCGACTCCCTCTTTCCCCCATTACCCAGCCCGAGGGCGGCGCCGTCCGGGCGCAGGGGAGCACCCTCCTTTGCCGGTGCCTAGCAAGACCTCAGCCTCGAGCGCCGGCGCCCCCACCCCAGGAATTTAACCCCCTCCCCACCGAGAGCCGCGCCACAGCGCCGCATTCCCAGCCCGCGGGACCCAGCAGATGGAGCCGGGAGACCGGGGGAGGGGGAAGATCCCTCCAGCCCCTCCACCAGAGCCCGCGGGCAGTGCGCCTGGGAGGTCAGAGCTGGCAGGTGGGCGGATAAGCGGGGGGACAGGCAGGGCCCTGCGTACCATGGTGCCGTGGCGCTGGGGGCTCACAGGGCCCCGCGGGATCGCGCTGCCCCCGGCGGCCAGGCCGGGGCCGCTCCATGAAGCGCCGCGCTGGGGGCCGCCCCCGCGCAGGGCCCCGCGACCATGGCCCCCGGGGGCGCGGCCGGGCAGGCGGAGGCGCAGGGCCGCGGCGAGTCCAGCGCCGAGCAGCTGCGGCCCCAGAGCCTCGGGCGCGGCGGGCGGGGGGCGCGGGGCGCCGATTGGAGCCCGCGCGTCAGCTGGGGCCGCCGTCTGGACGCTTAAAGGGCCAGGCCGCCTGCGTGCCGGCGGGGGGCGCGGACACGCGTGGTGTGCGCCGTCCCCTTGCAGCCCGCCCTGCTGCAGGCTGCCCTCCACCCCTCAGCCCCTGCTCCAGCCCCCAGCCCGTCCCCACTGCTCATATCCGAGCAGATGGACCCCGGCCCCACCCTCCCGTGCTGAGCCTCCTTTCTGCCGGGAAGTTCGTCCGGGAGTCAAACATCGGTGCCCTCCGGTTGCGCCACGGAGGGGAAGCTGCCGTGAAATCAGGAAGCTGAGAGCGCCGGGCCCCGGATCCGATCAGAAAAGGCTTCCACCCGCTTCCCTGAGCGATCCCACGCTGATCCTACTGAACCCCGCACCCCAGCCGCGCTCACCACCCCCACCCTCTTGCCTGGGCTGTTCTGACCTGGGGGTGAGTCTGGGGTCCCCAACTGGTCCAGTCTCCCATCCCTATCCCAGGGCGGCGCAGGGCTCATTTTGCTCTGTGCCTCCAGGACTTGGCTCCAGTGGACCCATACCTACCTGGTGGCCTCATGCTGCATAGGGCCACCCAGGGCAGGAGATTTAAAACCCAGGACTACAACTGCAGCGATCAAGTCCTCTAAGGTGACTGGCCCAGGACCAGGAGACAGAGGGACCAGAGGAGTAGGGGCCAGAGGCTCAGGCCCCACTGTGCCCCTCTAGCCGTGTGACTTGACCACTGCTGAGTGGCCCCCCCTGCTCAGCCTCTGCTGGGGAGATGCAGCCAGGCTTGCGGAATGCTGCTCTGGCATGGACACCCGTGGGGGCAGGGGGCTGGCTCTGTTGGCAGGAGGCTGTAAAGGAATGCCGCCAGGCTGAGCAGGCAGCAGGGTGGGGACCACGGGGCACTAGACCTGGCAAGGTCTGGATGGTGACTGGGCCACCATTGTAGAGGAGAGGCCTCTGTGAGCATCCCCTACTCCTACCCCAAGTTGACTACTGCCCATCCTGGGTCACTCTCATGTTGCCCCCATCCTGATATTCCGCACCCCTCCCCACATACGTGCGCTTATGTTTACATACAAGTCCATGTCCAGCTGCAACAGTATCTCCTGGGTATGCTGCCCTACTCATGAGTGGGCAAGAACTCTGGCGCTGGCTCAGGGTGACTTGTTTCTAGGTGCCAGAGGAGAAACAGAGGAGAGACCAGGGTCTTAGGCAGGTGCCATGAAACATCCTGATGGTCTGTCCCCTAAGACTGCAAGGGCTTCCTCCCCCACCCCGACTCTCCACCAGAATCAGAGGGCTTCAGGACAAGGCTATCCCAGAGCCAGAGAGAAAATGTCTCAGGGGCCAAAGCTGGGGCATCTGGAAGCCCCTGGCAGCTGCTGCAGACATCCTGCACCTGCATGGGTGCACAGACAGCTGGCCCAGCTCCCAGAAACCCCAGGTTAAGGCCAGGCCAGAGCAGCTTACATGCTTCTGACCAGCTAGCCCCCTGAGGGCTGCCTTCTGCCTCTTCCTCCCAGCCCACTTCCTCATCTGACTCACAGTGGATCCTAGCACTGGCCCAGGAGGTAGTAAGGGAGGGGCTGTGTGCCCATTGGTTGGATAAGGACTCTGAGGCTCAGAGCAGAACAAATCACTTAGGCATCAACATCAGGAACCAGCAGAAAGGGAGGTGGGGAGAGGGGACCTCTCCACGGGCCGGAAGAAGCCTGACAGAGAGAGCTGCATGGGACATTGCTAGGCCCACTGCCAAGTCAAAGCTTGACAGAGGGTGTGGCCAGCGTGACTGAGGTAGTGATGCTGGTGGCCCTGTGGGGCCTTGTTGGGGCCTTGGCTCCAGCAGTCAAGCTGCAGGAAGGGCTGGAGGTTGGGTGAGAAGGGAGGGGACGGGTGGTAGGGGGGCACTCAGTCTCCCTGAAGGCCTCGGCTATTCCCCTTTTGTTTCTCTGGCCTGCAGCTCATCGGCTGGGGAGTCCCAGGGCAGAGCCTGAGCTCTGTGAGCAGCTGTGGGCACCTGGCAACATTGGACCTGGCAGGAAGGAGTGGTTTGAAGAGCTGTCCGGTGGGCCCAGAGGGCTGCTCAGAGCTGAGCCTTGAACTTGAACTAGAGCAATGAGGGAGTGGAAGGGCTTTCCAGACAGAGACAGCTCCTGCAAAGGCCAGGAGGTGGAGACAATTTAGTGCCTGCAGGGAACTAGAGGGGATTTGGTGTGGTGGAGTCAAGATTCCTGTTGATCAGTTGTCTGGTCAGTGGGAGTGAACAGGTGGAGCTAGGCAGAAGCAGAATTTCTCTCTTGGTCCTGATGAGGGGCATGCAGTAGGAGCTTCACTTCAGGGAGGTCAAGGCAGGCTTTCTGGAGGGAGGGACTGAGTTATTGTGGAGGTGACTCCTAGGCCAGAAATGCATGCCCCAGGGATGAGTCAGGAGTCTGGAGATGCTCACCCAGCAAGGGCAGAGCTTAGTGATCCTTCACACATTTGGGATTGGGTCCTGGCAGGGTCAGGAAAGCTATGCCCCTGCCTCTGGAAAACAGCTCATGGATTTTCTTTCAATTTCCCTAGGTATCTACCCTCAGTGCTGGAGTGTCCCCAGGCTTGGTTGGGGAAACCAGATTCAACCCCACTGAAGTTGGAAAGAACAGCCCAGGTTGTGGGTATGCATGTGTGGGAGCAATGCAGGGCTGAGTCGGCTCAGAGGGCATGGAACTGTGTGTAACTGAGCCTGGGCAAGAGGGAGAGCAGAGTGGGCAATGCCAGAAAAATACAGGCAATGCAACTCAACTCACACATCATGGGGCCGGTGGGGTGGCAGGGAAGTTCAAAGCTGACTTGAACTTCCGCTGACTTGAACAGCGCCACTAGGCGCTGACCCAAAGCCCAAAGTTCTAAGCAGGGCGGGAAAACATGAATCCGCTGGGTGTGGGGTAAGGGTGGAGGTTACACCTGAATTCTGCCTCCACTGAACCCAGCGCTAATAGGCTACAGCTGCCCTTGGTTGGGGGCCTCATGCAAACCAGCAGGTTGTCTGGTTTCCTCTCACAGCATGAACATCATGGCTTTGGCATTTCAGGTCTCTTTTGCAGCTTCCAGGATCCTCTCCTGCCCTGTTAGTTCTGGGGGCCTTGGGCCTCTCCCTAGTGATTGAGCCTGGCCCCAGACATGAACCCTCTGGGACTCCTTCACTTCTAGAGGCACCACCTCAGGGACCACCATCTCTGAACCACTGATGTATGCTTGGTTTTCTAAACATTTAATACACCACAGTTCTAGGAGGAGGAATCCCTAGCATCCATTTTTCAGATAAGCTGAATTATAGAGAGGTCAAGCAAATTGTCCTCCTTCTGGTTACCCAACTGGGAAGTGGCAGAGTAGAACTTAAACCCAAGCAGTCTGGTTCTGGGCCAGAGTCCTTAAGGATTGTACCGTAGAATAGTTGCTCATAGAAGTCCCCCTGCTTCTTCAAAATAAAATCAAATTAGGCTGGAGGCATTGAGGTCAGTGGGGACTCTTTTCAGGCTTTCTCTGGGAACCTGGCCTGATGGGAGATTTTAGTTACTAGAGGTCTTAGGTGACCAGAGGCTGGTGAAGTGCCAGCCTATACACCCAACCCCTGTGGGCCAGGTCCACTGGGAGGCAGACTCGTCTGCAGGCTGGGAAGGGATAAGCACCCCTGGTTGTCTATCATGTCTGAGTGTGCCAGCCATATATACCCTCGTTCAGGGTTTATGAGCCATAGGAGGCCCAGGATCAGGGCTCAAGATGCAGAATGCAGGTGTTTGTCCTGAGACCTCAGGTCACTCCATTTTGTTTCTCAGCTAGGGTCTTGCTCTGTTGCCCAAGCTGGGCAGAGGTGCAATCATGGCTCACTGCAGTCTCCACCTTCTAGGCTCAAGTGATCCTCCCACCTCAGCCCTGAGTAGCTGGGACTACAGGTGTGTGTCACCATGCCCAGCTACTTTTTTTTTTTTTTTTTTTTTTTGAGACGGAGTCTCGCTCTGTTGCCTAGGCTGGAGTGCAGTGGCCGGATCTCAGCTCACTGCAAGCTCCGCCTCCCGGGTTTACGCCATTCTCCTGCCTCAGCCTCCCGATTAGCTGGGACTACAGGCGCCCGCCACCTCGCCCGGCTAGTTTTTTGTATTTTTAGTAGAGACGGGGTTTCACCATGTTAGCCAGGATGGTCTCAATCTCCTGACCTTGTGATCCGCCCGTCTCGGCCTCCCAAAGTGCTGGGATTACAGGCTTGAGCCACCGCGCCCGGCCGCCCAGCTACTTTTTTGTTGTTTTTGTCTTGATAGTCTTGCTATGTTGTCCAGACTGGTCTTAAACTCTTGGCCTCAAGCAATCCTCCTGCCTTGGCCTCCCAAAGCACTAGAAATACAGGTGGCCACTCCTCCTTTCACCCTGATACCCTCATGGCTCTGGGCTGAAGAGATGCAACCCTCTCCAAGCTAGCCTGGGTTCTACAGGCTGTGAAGCTCAGCTCAGTCTAGGGAGCTGGAGCTTGAGGGGTTACAGTAAGTGATGGGTCTGGGGTCTCCAAGAGGCAGCAGGCCCACCCGGGGCCTTCTGATTCACAGGGAGGGTGGAGGCAGCAGCAAGGGAGTACTACCTCTACCTTGTACTGAAACTTTGAAAGAAACCAGACCACTAAAGCCTCCTAGCCCTGTGTGTATGTGGCCAGGGCAGACTCCCCTTGCCTTGTACTTATGAGGCCCTGACAAGCTTCCCAGTCTGTCCTGAGATGAACGTGTTCTTTCAAGGTACCCAACTCCTCCCGAAACCTCTGGACTCCTGAGGGGCCTTTACTGCATCAAAGAACTTCTCCCTGCTGTCTTCCCAGCTCATTCTACCACAAGGCCCTCATGGGCCTGCGGGCTCTCGCCTCACTGTGGGCAACAGCAGAGTTGATTCTCTGTTCCAAAAACCAGTCCTCTGGAAATCTGAACCCAGTCCCTTTCACCTTACGAGGCATGGCTTCCACATCTTTTCACCTGACCACGTTAGTCTGCAACACTTGTTCAAGGCTCAGCATCTGCCTTGAAAAAGTGAATAGAGTCTCTTTTTTTTTTTTCTTTTTTTTCAGTAGAGATGGGATTTCACCATGTTGGCCAGGCTGGTCTCAAACTCCTGACCTCAAGTGATCCACCCGCCTTGGCCTCCCAAAGTGCTGGGATTACAGGTGTGAGCCACCGTGCCTGGCCACCTCCCATCTCTTCTAAACAGTGATTCCCAGTTAGTGTCTTGCAAGAGGGGCATTTTCCTTGAATTACCTTCCCACCTATTTAATGCCCAGCTAATTCAGAAGAGTCAAGACCAAAGTCCTTGGCACATTTTGCCCCCAATAGTGCCCAACTATCAAGCTTACCACTATCAGAACTTGATCCTGCATTTTCTTTACAATTTTAAAGGAATGCATCCAGATTTGACAAATTTCAGGAGTTGCTGAAATAAGGAGTCCACTGTGAACTCAGTTTAAAAACTGAGTGTCTGCAGTGAGAAGTTAACTGCAATAAATTATGTTGTGTTCACTAAGAAAATACACATTTCTTTCAGTTCTGAGAAGACAAAAGTTAATTGTACTTCCCTGAAAATTCTGTGTATGCTAAAAGAATGTTTTCTCTGGGAATGAGTGATATGTGCTGCGCTGCCTGATGTACTGCTGTTAGGGAGGGAAATGTAGAGGCTGTAGGTAAATGCACTGTCTCTAGGCAGAAACTCACAGATGGGATGTGACATATTCCTCCCTCAGCAAAGACATCTTTATGCAGGTCACTTTAGCTGGACAACAAAGTGTAGGGGAAATCTGGAGTTTCCAGGAGAGAAAGACCAAGCATCATTAATGCTTACCTGTGTAGGTTAAAATCTCTGTCTGACATTCTCTCTAGCTCCACCTCCTACACCCACCACTAACACTCAGCTAGAAGAAAAGGAGCTGCCAAAGGAGATGAGGTGTCTTCACTGGCTGGGTCAGCAGAAAGATGAAACATGCACAGACTCAGACTTAGACTAAGTATATATTTTAATTTCTACAAGGTCCCCTTTCAAGTTTTAGGGAAATTTAACTGAAGTGTATACAAATTAGACATTGCTAATATGTACAAAAGTATTTTATACAGTTTTTGAACAATACTAGCTATTTGCAATAAACAAGATGTTACAAAAACAGTCCAATAATGCATTTCCTATTAAGAAGCACAATACACAACATAATTCAATTTTATTAAAAAATAACTTCAAAATACAGAACAATCCCCTTTAGGAAGAAAGGCTATTTCTGTAGTTCACTCTGTCAGTAAACATACAAGTTGAATGCTGCAGCAGAGGGCTGTCCTTGTCCATGGAGAAAAGAAATGAGGCTTCTAGGGCCTATCTTTTCTGGATAAAATTCCACCCACAGCTGAGATGGGCAAAGTTATTGCCTGTGGTAGGCAGAATTTGAAAATGCCCCTCCCCCTTTCAGTGAGCTAATCTCCGGAACCCATGAATATGATGAGATGAGATAGTACTCCTGCAATTATGTTCTATCGCACAATCGACCTTCAAATATATCTGTGGGTTTGAGCTAATCATATGCCCCTAAAACAGAGGAGGACGGGAGAGAGAGATGAACCATGAGAAAGAGCAGGAAGGCTGGTTTGAAGCTGGAGGGGACCACACAAGAAGGAATGCAGGCAGCCTTAAGGAGGTGAGAGAGGGGCCCCCAGCTGAGAGCCAGCAAGGAACTGAATTCTGCCAACAACCTGAATGAGCTTAGAAGCAGATTCTTCCCCAGAGCCTCCATGAAAGAATGTTGTCCTGCCAACCCTTATTTCAGCCTTGTAAGACCCTGAGCAGAGAAGCCAGCCACACTGTGCCAGACCCATGAGCTACAGAACTGCTAAATGGGTGTTGTTTTAAACTGCTAAATTTGGGGTAATTTGTCACACAGCAATAGAAAACTAACACAGTGCCCAAGGGCAACTTTTCTTAATTACATTTGGCAGTTTCTGCTTGGGTTCTGAATGCATTTTTTCCCTTCTGACTAGTAGTAATATTCTCCTTTGCAGGCAACCCTTGAAAACCTTTAAATCATACTGTTTTGTATTCAGTATCCAGTATTGTTTGTTTGGCCAAAGTCCTGTTTTCTAATGTACTTCTGTCTATCAACCTGGCAAACAACTGACCACCTTACCCTGTTTTCATACCTTCTTTGGGTGATAGTTTTAATACATTCAAGGGCACCCTCCCTCCACCAAGGGTTGTCAGCTCCCTACAACTGAGGGCTCTTTTCCACTTCCCAAATACACCAGACAAGGCCTGTGGTAGGGTGGTGCTGAGTTCTACATCAGGCATCCAATATGAATTTCTTCTGCATAACTGGATTAAAGTGGCACTAAGGTGATTAAGTACACTTGGGGAACAAATTCAAAGTAAAGATTAAACACACACACACACACACACACACTAGTTTTTACAGGTCCAATTATTTTTGGAGGAACCACCCAAAGCCATGAAAATATATAATTTATGTTATACCCTCTATCCCTCTTCCCCTGTCTCTTGCACCTGGGTCAGGTCATGCAAGGCTTTCAGTCAGCTGCAGGTCACAGTGGAAACAGGAAAAACATGCTGGTTACAACAGTTCAGCTGCTGTTGTGGTAATATCCTGTACTTGAAAGACTTGAAAGCCCTGCAAAATGTCTCCAGGATGGTGGCAGTTAGATTTTGATGTTACTTTTGAAGTCCAGTCTTCACTCTTCCAGAGGTACACACACGTAGTAGACTTGAGTGGCCAGTAGCTCCTATTGCCAATCCTGCCTGCTCCAGGGGACCCCAACCCACATCTGTACTTGAGAGAAGCCCCCCAAATAGTCAAAGTGAAGACAGCTCAGAATAAACCATTTTTGGTGCCAGTGATTTTTTTGAATTTAATTTTTCTCTTTTATGGTATTTAAATATATGATCTATAAGAGTAATGCTTAAAGAGGTACCAAAAATTACCAAGCACCAAAGCATGAAGTAGAATAGAATTGCTTTTATAACCTAAACTTCTGATAGGTATTGATTAAAAAGAACATAAAATAGTAAGTCCTCAGAGACAGTGCAGGTATTTATAGTTAAGGCTGATTGATTCTTCCTAACCTTGCCCACAAGCCTGAAGTAATACAGACTGTGTGGGACGTATCATGACCACTTTCCTAATCCTGTGAAATATCAAAGAAGTTAGGAATGAATTAAGAACCCCAGAGCCACTGCCTTATACTCCTGGTTACCAACAGTATCAATTCTGGGTGGTTTGTTTTTAGAGCACATTATGTACAAGACTCTATGTAATCAGTATATAAATATTTGGCCGCCTTTAACAGTTCTCCTTCACAGTTCTATGCTTGGCAGCATATATGCTAAAACTGGAAAAACAGGCAAAAAGAATCTGTATTCTAAGGAATACGTGAGATAGAGTGAAATAGACTTAAAATAATATTGCAAATTATACATAAATTTCACGATTTCTTGATTCAAGAAAATGAAGTTCATTTCCATAGTTGGCTACTGTAAAATGTGGCATAAAAATATTTTTAGGAGACATATCTGTATTTTAAATTCTCCCCACATGTAAATGAACGAGTAACAATTAAGAAGTATCTATTTTTGAAATTCATCTCTGATATTGAAATAGAACAACAGACTGTCATTAAGTTTCTTAAGCTTTTAAGTTGCCAGATATTTACAAATAAGATATAATTTGTATCCACAAAAAGGACATTTTCAACTATATCTGCTGCTCTCACTGGGGCTCCGGTGATGAGAGTAACTTCGGTCACTTTCACTGTCAGAGCCATAAGATCTACAACTCCTGTAATAACAAAACAAAATATATAAAAACCTTGTAACTATAAAATCTTTGAATTCCTCTTGTAGCTTCTTTTTTATATGAGTGGCTTGAAAACACTATTGATGTTTTCAAGCCACTAATGTAACTGATGCACTACTGATGCAGCATAGCACAGACATAGGGTACTGACTATGGCAACACCGTGGACTTTTTCTTTTTCTTTCTGAGACGGAGTTTCGCTCTTGTTGCCCAGGTTGGAGTGCAATGGCATGCTTTCAACTCACTGCAACCTCCACCTCCTGGGTTCAAGTGATTCTCCTGCCTCAGCCTCCCTAGTAGCTGGAATTACAGGTGCCTGCCACCACACCCAGCTAATTTTTTGTATTTTTAGTAGAGATGGGGTTTCACTATGTTGGCCAGGCTGGTCTTGAACTCCTGACCTCAGACGATCCACCCGCCTCTGCCTCCCAAAGTGCTGGGATTACAGGCGTGAGCCACCGTGCCCAGCTCATACTATGGACTTTTCAAAGATGTTTTAAATGACAAGTTGTAGTAATGTCAAGATTAAAATAAAATAAAGAAACATCACATCTTAGGAAATTTGTGTGAAATTCATTCATGAAAATGCTGGGACCACAAAAACAAAAAACCAAAGAGCAGAATAGTTTCCCATGTTAACCAAAATGAGTATCAATATTTGAATAGATTACCTGAGAAAAGTAATGGGGAAAAGGTGCACAAACAGTTTCATTAAAGAAATGGAAACCAAAATGGGGTCCAATGAGGGGTGGCGGCGGCCCTGGGCATGAACAGGACCACTGGGATACTTAGTCAAGAGGACCTGGTCATGGGTCCCATTCAGTTATTTTGAAAAACATTCACTGTGAGCCAGGCGTTTTGCAAGATTCTGGACACACACACACACACACACACACACACACAGAGACAGGAAACCACGTATAGTTCTCTGGGGTTCAAGGACAGAATACAATAGTTGCCAAGACAAATAATTTAGGAGCGAGGGAGGCCGCAGTAGGAGCAAAGGCTGTCTTAGAGGCAGATGGGAGGGACTATATCCAATAATTAGGCATCAGGGAGGGCTGCCCAGTGACAGTGGAGATCTGCAGGGTAGATGGGAACTGGCCATTTCAAGTGGCAAAAGAGGAGATGGTGAAGAGGGCACGTGTGTCTCCAGGCAGAAGGAAAAGTCCCAGCACTTTAAAGGAGGGAAGCCAGAAAGAGTCTGAGCTGGAGTTGGTGCTGAGGAGGCTGGACCTGATCATGAAAGCAGTAGGGAGTCCCTGAAGAGTTTCAAGCAAGGGAGTATCCAGATCACACTGATATTTACAAGCATCAATGTAGTTGCAATGAACAGGGGAAGGCAAGACCAGAAGCCACCAGAAAAGGACAGTACAAAAGTTAACATAAAGATTTTTGCAGAAGCCAAAATATGTTAAACATAATACATATAATACATAAATGTATTTTGCTAAATAATTGACAATCTATAAACCTCAATCCTGCTGCTGAAGCAAATGATATTATGTATTTTTTTATTAAAAAAAAAATGAGAAACTGGCTACTGCTAGCAAGTAGTTCTATTTAAGCAAGTGGCCACAGTTTGGCTGGCCGCCTTTCTTTCCAAAACAAAGGTCTGTCCAAGATATGTGAATATTTAAAAACCCATTTTAGATTCAAACATTAATAATAACCAACAGATATTACCTGGCAACTCTTAATATAAAAGCCACTTTTAGTGGCTGCTTGTGGGTTTTTCAGATTTAACCAGGAAGAAGTATTTCTGTCCTTGGAAGGTTATACCGCTTTCTCTTCCACTAGCAGCCCGTCACCTCCCATATCAAGTGCCCACCGTGGCCTGCAGTGCGATAACGGATGATAAAGGAGAGAGACCCACCTGGACCGCCGATTATAACTTCTGCCTCGGTGGTAACTGTCACTTCTCTGGCTTCTACTTCGACTCCGACTCCTGCTATAGTAGCTATCGTAGGTGTAGGACCTGCTTTAACAGCAACAACAAACACTAAATTTTCCCACTCAAATACTCATATGTTCCTATTTCTTTTTAGGATCTTAGGAGTGTTCTAGCTTAGAACATGGGCACTAGGTAACAGCGTGAGGATATATTTCCAAAACAAGTACTGGAAACATTTAACAATTGCCCCCAAATGAGACTTAACATAATTAAAGAGAAAAATTTTAATTTCTTTTCTGCGTTGAAAAATACCATAAAATTAACGAGTTAGTTTAAATCTGGTGGATCTTTGTAGGCAATTATATTCAATAAACACCTGCCATTACAATTTGATACTGTCATTTTTGATACTAGAGTACAATGGGC